TATAAAAGTTTGGAATACATTTAATTATTTCAATAAAATTACAAATGTTTGAGCTTTCAACCTGTAGCTTTAAATTACTCTATATATCAAATAGAAACATACTTGAAATAAATTTACAGAAGTTTCCTTGAAACGTACTGCTATATGATATGTAAGTTTCTATTACATTTATACTTATATTCAACATTGTTTTGTTGTTGTTCCTCAGTTATCTTATCACGCTTTCGGAAGGGTCGTTTTCTTCAAAAGGTTCACTCAACTCTGCTAATCTATGTTCTTCTACGTCGTCTTCTATTTCTTGGTGGAACGGTTTTTCTGGCTCACTTTCAACATCTTCGTATTCTGGGCTCTCTTCCACAGCGTAAGTGTTACTCTCTTGTGTCAATTTCACTGGATTTCGAGTCCCATAATAATAGTTCGTGGGAATGGGAGCGTAATATATTAATTTCTTATGGTGCGGCTTCTTAGGAGTGGGATGATGACAATGTTTCTTTTTCGGCTTCTTTTTCGGTTTCTTAGGTTTTTTCGGTTTGTGCGGATGTTTTTTATGAACTTTTGGATCACATGGTTTGCACGGTTTGTGTTTAGGCATTAACGGTGGATAAGGCTTATGCGGCTTTCTAGGATGATGGTGATGACGGTGGTGGTGGTGTGGTATCCAATGAATGGGTACTTGTCGGGCTATAAGTATTGGATGATTTGGTTTTCTGACGATAATACTTAAGTCCCTCAAAGGACGGACGAATCGCTTTGGAGCGTAATTTTGCTGATCAGTTATTGGATCTAGAGCTTTGTTACGTTCTTTTGGTTTCAACGAGATGATCGATGAAATCTCTTTTACTTTTTTCACTCGTTCGAAATCTTTATTTTCCGGATCTTCCATATTTTCATGTTCATTAAGTTTTTCTAACGAATCCGTGTCTTCCGGTATATTCAGTGCTAATTTTTCTGATTCACCATAATCGTCCATTTCAGGTTCACGAATCGTTTGTGATACTAATTTTGACGATGCTGTAGGCATCCTGGTTTTGGATACAACCGGTTTCGGTTCATTCTCGGAATCTTTAAACCCATAACTTCGAGGGCTTAAATCGTTTTCATCGCTAAGGGATTTTGTAGTTAGATTTTTGTTTGCCATACTACGTTTAGTGTGCTCATCGTTTATTATTCGGCCGCTTGTTAGTGCCAACAACCAAAATAATGCCAACTGAAAAAGTATAAAATAACATTTATCACAAATATTATTAGTAAGATAGTCTTATGAACAATATGAAAAATCTCCCAAAGATATCAAACATAAGTGTTAATGTGTGATATTGAAAAACTAAATATAATATTTTGAAATACATTCTATTTTTCAAGTACGATATTTAACTAATTAAAGTTATTTAATCACATTAATTTTGTTTATGGCGAAATTTAAAATTTGAATGAAAAATAAATATATTTTGTTCTTGGTTAAATATAATTGTTTAAAATGTTGCGTGGAAAAGTGGTATGATGTGTAATACGTTAAAATTTAAGCTTTTATACTCTGATAACCATTATACTGTTCAAAACTTAAATATAAAATATGAGAACAATAATGACTATAATCAAATTACAATATAATGTTTTTTTTTTTTTATATGAAAGGTGCACAACGTAGTCGAACGTAGCCACTCACTATAGCAGAACAATGGTACGTAGAATAAACACCAATCAGATGTAATCTAATTAGTAGAGCTCGGATTTAAATGGCCTGAAAATAAATCAAAAAATGCATTTATGACCTAAAAACTCTTAAAAATGTCCTTTCAAAAAATTAATTTAAACGTAAATTTACATTAAATAATTTAATTTTATTATTAATGAAATAATTAAATATTTAAATAAAGAAAAAAATGTATATGAAAAATATTGTTAATAATTTTATTTGACAAATCGTATCTACTAGTGCTTTGTACGGTCTGGTCTGGTCCGGTCTTAACGTATAAAAATAGATGAAGGATCGGTTCGGTCCGAATCAATACTTTTTTGAATGATTTTGGTCCGGTCCTAGACTATACTATATATACTACATCCTAAACTATAATAATTCGGTTCGGTCCGGTTTCTAAAATATAATCAGATCGGTCCCAATTAGTTTAAAATGTACGGCTAATATTACGGCTTGTTTCAAATCTAATTACTATTGAACAATGATTTAAAATTATAAAGACGTTATCTATAGAATTAATAACACGAATATTATCATTATGGCCCATGGGAATCAATATTTAACCCCAGCACCGTTGTTTTATATAAATTGTATGTACCATCATGTATATTGCATATAACTCAAAGCTGTTCATGGTACCTATTGGCTATTAATAATTTATTATGGAACATGTTTTCAAGAAAAATTATTATTATTCTCGTTATGGTGCGGGTAACGTGGAATATTATGGAAGTGCCACGCCGCGTCACGCCGTCCAAATATATGAATGTATACAACTGCCAATGAAATATTCGCACATTATGATCTTGGTTTATATTAATTATAGTTTATCTACACATTATTTTGGGGAAACGGAGATAGGAAATGAAATGTGCACTTCTAATTTCTATCCATTCTTGTCGATGATTCCGGTAGCGGTAATACTTGGAAAATAGTTGATTAGCCAGGTCAGATGGCAAGTAGTTCGATATTTCCACGTTATTTTTAAAATCAAATTATGTGTGTCGTATTTTCGTATGCATTATTAATAGTTTTTATTTGTGAACCATATTATTTCTCATTTGTGTTACAACACGAGTGTAGTATAGTGTAGTATATATACCTAATATACCTATACTAAAATATAAATTTACTATAGTCTATTTTCATGGTGCAATATTTTTTTTAGTTTGGATCGTTTGTCCGCTCTATCATATTATGTTATACTTGGGGTCTTGTATGGTAAAAAAAAAAATAGGTCCGCGGTCCGGTTTGGTCCAGTCCATAAGCTTTTACAGTCCGAAAATTATAAGTTCGGACCGGCGGTCCAGTCTCGGTTCACTCTAACAAATTATTTTAAATTTTCAATCCAGTCCGGTCTAAAATTTAATGTAGCAATCGGTTCGGTCCGACTTCGGTTCTTTTTTAACATTTTCAGTCCGGTCCGGTCCCTATAATTACGAACAGTGCAGAGCACTAGTGTCTACAACATTTATAAATTCTGTTAATTAATTAAAGTTAATACTATGTTTATACTTTTATGAAGTCAATTTTTTAGTCATAATACATGAAATAGGTCAAAAATGTCTTTAAAAAATTAAATAATGCATTTAAAACGTTAAAAACGCCCCCAAAAAAAATTAGTTGTTACAATATAGAATACTTAAAACACATTTGTAGCTTGGAAATCATCGTGTAAGAGATTCCAACAGAAAAAAAAAATGCAAATGTATTTAAATCCGTGTGGTTAGAAATTATATCCATTGAACGTTATTGAATTATAAAAGAAAAATTGTATAGACTACATTAAAAATGCACATATAATTGTTCTCTAAAAACGCATTCCAATTAAAACCGATTGTTATTCTTCCATATAATATGCGAAATCATAAATAAGTTATGAATATATTTAATAACAATAACATAAGTGTTCCAGAAAAAAAAAAAGATTCGAATGAGATGAGTGGATAGGAATCGCGTTCTACCATACGGTATTCAACGGTTACATTATCGAGGATACAAGATAAGCTTTATTCACGTAACAATTTTTTCGTTATGTTTTTTTTTTTTTTTTTGATTCTACTCACCAATCGTTTCGTGTCCATCGTCGTGGCGATCATTCATGACGACTATTCGATCCCGAGTCCGGTGCTGAAGCACATAATGGTTTTTCACGCGGACACCGTTCGTACACAACTGCCATTTCGATCGATCCGTTTGTCCACGACACGTGCGGACTGCGTTGTTCCTGCAGGTTACCACTTCCATGCTGTCAAATGGACCGTGTCGCTATAATTATCATTGCACTGTGTCATTATACGAAGTTTTGGTTTTTTCGGTTTATTTACACACGAATTTCCCAATATTATGTCACACGCCGGTCTCTAGGTATCGTGACGACGTTTTGCTGTCGGTTTTATTCCGGCTAGCCGGGAAAGAAACAGGTAAAAGAGAGAGAGTGAGAGAGCGAGTGCGAGAGAGAGTAATGACAACTACGCGATGATGTAACCGGAGACGATGGTAATACTTTGGTAATCGGAACGAAATGGCGATCGCGTTATAATTACAGGAAATCTTTGAAATAATTGTTTGCGGGATACGATAAACGCGTTAATGACTTACACACACCTACAGAAACGAATTGAGAACCATTTTCGGCGGTTTCGGGTCACGGCCAGCGATGGATGAATCACCGAGTCACTGACGTTCTGGTCTGCCGACAAAAATATAAAGTTTGATGAGATTTCATAAGTTCATCCCGATTCATCTATTGTAACGATAACAGTTCAGTATTCAGATTCGTTTTTATTTTATGTTCACAGGTGACAGTGTGTCTATTTCATGCATATTATAAACACATAATTTCGAATTGAAAAATTATAATTTATAATCGTGAAGCGCGAGTGATTCATTATAAAATCAGAGAAATATCAGATGTGTATTATAAACCATCATTATTATGCATCGAGGAAAAGCGTGGTTTTCGTTTACAATTTCAATTTTTAATTCTATTTTTTATTTTTATAGACATCAGGGGTGCCATAACTATTGTAGAATACACTGTTAAAGTACACATTTTTCTTTTTTATATGATTTTACTTTTAGATGTGTTACTATTAATTATTTTGCGTATAATTTTAGGAACTCTTTTAATGTGTTAATTTATTCAGTAAATCTATATGTCGGCGGATTGGTATTTGTCTACGGGGGGGAAACACACGCGATGGGTAGTCGCCGATAGCTGGAAACCTTGGTCAGCCACATGTGATGACAAGTATAGATGTTCCGGGTAGTAAATTGATTATAAACATGATATTAACTGGTTAAAAATTTCAATATTTCACCGAATACCGAGTAAGAGCCGAGTTTTAATTATTGCATTGAGTACTCGGCCGAAATACTTCTAATTTATTTTAGTAAAAAAACAAAATCAAAGGAACTACATTGCGCTTCCTCATCATTGTCAAATGGATTCCAATTCTATAGTATTAATTGAATAAAAAATAAAAATAAATAAAGTTATTGATGAATTTCCAATTATAAACAGGAAAAAAGCGAAGTAAGAACTGCAGAAAAAGTGATGACAAGGGCGTCGGCCATCGTTACTGTTAACCGATGGGTGATGGGGATTAATGCGTTTTGATTTCAGATAATATAAATAATTTAGTATTAGTAATATTAGTAGTATTAGTAATAATGTAATATAATTCAAACACGGGATTAATTTTTCTAATTTATAGAACGAAACACCGTTTACTCACAATAATAACCACCTATGTAAATTGGTTCGTTAATCCTAAACGTGTCGAAATCAATTATAATTCATAGCTTAGGGTTTTTCTTGTTATATTAATATGTGTGCATATTTCTATGCATAGATTATCAATCGGGATTGCCTTAGCAAAGAGGTCTACTGATAACGTGTAAATAAACTGAGTACCGGGTGCGTGTTCGCGAGGCAAGAGGTTGAGTGTTACGCCAAGTAAAAATTTTCCTGTTACACCGGATACGGGGTAGGCCTAGTGAGAGTTCACCGTATAACCTAACCGGGTAAGGACCTAGTTTTAATAATGACGTCGAGTATTTGGTCATCGAGTGATTGCCGAGTGCCCGGAACATTTCTAATAAGGGTAGTGTTTCGAGAAAATCGAAATCGATACAGAGGTAATGGTCGTCGAGGAACTCTATGCGGAACCTGAGCATGTATTGTGCGTAAGTGGACGGTTTAATGGAAACGGAATCGTGTACGACTCGAACAACTGTGGAGGGGGGGGGGACAAAAATCATTCCATAAACACGCACTGCGACCATCGGTACGGTTTCTTTTAATATAATACACATACATTATCATTGATTAAATACCATGCTTTCGCGTTCGTTATGCAATTGATATTTATTCAAAACTTGAAGAGCGTTCTAAAGTATAACGAATTCGAAACCGAGTAAAAGCCCATCAAATGCACTTAACAACAACAGCTCGAATCGATAAACGATCAAAACTAAAACTTAAAAGTGTACGGTACGGAGAAACTTTTTTGACATGTAAAATATTATTGAAACGCCCATAAATATAACGTGAAATAAAATAATTCCTCATAGTTAGTTTTCTTTAACCAGAAAAAAAAAAACAAAAAAATAAAAATAATAATTCGAAAATATTTTTTCAACTTTTATTTCACGCGAAGAAAATTGAAAACAATATTGATAAGTAACGGTTAAAAAAAAGTAGTAAGTAAACTAAAAAAAAAAAAAAAGTTTGTATTTCATTAAATGTGAATATTACTATTTAAAAACGTTAAGGCATATCACTGTAAATATTTTTACATTTTTACGACATTGTTACATTCACAGTAATTTGATTTATTAAAGTACATTATTATTATTTGATAATAATAAAATGTTTCACCGTTTTCCACTACCCTAAATGTATAATTTTATCGCATCATATTTCACATTGACCGACTTCATTCCATTTGAACTCGCATCACACGCTGACTCTTTGTACATAGGACGTAAGCAACCCATTAAGACACTGATTATGTCCATAGAGCTTATATTCCGAAAACAATTAATCCAAAACGGATCTCAATTTATGATGCAACTCCCAATTGTTTCTATCGAGTTCAAATGGCTTTTGCTAAACGCAGCTATGTTTCGTTGGTATTTTATTTTACTTCTTACGATAACGAGAAATTGTTTTGGCAAGTTTTACAATTTCATTATTAACAACACAATTATTAGCAATCATTAGCATTATTGGTTTGCAATTGAATATCATGTCCGTGTTTGTTGATAAAAAAAAATTTAAAAAAACCTCCAGTTGGTTTAGCCATACACTTTCCGATGGATTTGATTTCGTAACAACTCAACCATTAGCGAATAACAATTTGAATTCCTTACAACACCTTTCTCATTAACATTTGTGGTGATCTATTGTTAGCTAACACGATGAATTTTGCGGTCCAACAGCGTAATGTGGTAGCTGCATATACTTATAGATACTTACACCTGTGTGATCGGAATGTCTTGCACTTATGTACTGATTATTCGGATGCGGACGAAAAAAAAATCATTACGTTCGTTATATTCTTATACCGTTCACCCGAATTCGCACTTTTACGTATATCTCGAAGAATTTTAAATAATAGGAACTAAGGTAGTGTGCAGAAAAATCGAAATAAGTGTTTCGTGCTATTTGAAGCAAACTCAAATATTATTTCCACGAGATCTTTGTTTATTTTTGTATAAAATAAACAATGTCTTCGGTCAAACGAATTTCGATGTTTACTTGAGCAACGCAGTTTTCAAAACTGTATTACGTTGAAAATGAGTTGCTCGATATCTTATACATTAAAATTATATTCTGTACAATATGGTTTTCATTTTTTTCTGTTTTTATTGTTCAAAATATTGTTTTACCTAATGGTACAACTATTTATTTTACTTCGTTGACTATATATATCTGTGATACTTGCGCCATAATTCTGATAAAACACATAACTAAATATTTGTAATAAGTATTCAATATGAGAAATAAATTTTAAATTTTCATTATAACTATTGTTATCAAACTTAGTCAACAAAATTTTGTATATAAAATCAATTAATTGGATATATTTGAATTGTATGAGGAATGATCTAAAGCAACGTGAATGGTACATTGATGTACAGTTCCCGGCATCGTCCAGAACAGATACAGTTCCGGATCGCTGTGTTATCAAGTTTATAACTCTGTTTTATAAATATGTGTATAATGAATATGATTGATTTCCATCGTTTAACGAATCTTTGATTAAAAATATTAATATTGCATTATTCTGGTAGTTCTATACCGGAGGTGGCGAACATATGTCACGTGTGCAAAGGTGGTACGTTGACCAAATGTTAATGGCACGTGCAAAAAATTGAAATTATTAAATATTGTACACAAAAAAAAAAAAATTATACTATTTATAAAATGTTGGTTTTAAGAAATTCAAAGAAACAAATTGTTTATATTTTTCGTTCAACTTATGTTTGTGAAAGCTTATTCGCCATAACGAATTAAATCACGTAAACCGAAAGAAAGAAATGTTTTTAGCGATGAAAAAAATTATCCCTTATGTTTCTAAACGACTAAAATGTATTAAAAATAATATAAAAAAAAAAATCTGTAATTTTATTTTTGTATTCTTCGGACACGTGAACGATTTTCGAAATCTTTAATTGTAAAAATTTGGCACTTGGACTAAAAAAGGTTTGCCACCCCTGTTCTATACTATTATTTGTTTTCTTTTTCTTTCGCGCATTCTCTCCCAATGTTCTAACTATTATAAAACACTAATGCGCTATTACAAAATACTTTCTGGAGTTTGATCTATAATCGATAATAAGCAATGTTTATAAATATTCTATAGAGTATCAGGATCAATAAAAAGTTTCCTTATACAACAGTAATATGCTTTTACTGCATTATGTAAAAACTGAAAATATTTTCTCAAACGTTTTTTGTAAGCCGTATACTGTTAGTTCCATCGTAACTCATGTGCTTTTTCGTTCCATAAATGGAATGAAATTCTATACATTTTTTCAAGATTACTCTTAGTTCTCTTAGAGATGTGCAATTTAATTACTTTTATTTGTTACTCTTCGTGAACTAAAAGTACAGAACTAATTTAATTATTGTTAAAACAAATGAATGATCGTCATTGAAGAACATATTACAATTGAATTTTTTTTCTATGACCTAACGATAAAAATATTATAATGAAAACTTGCTGTGC